TTTCACTCTGCCATGTTGGTTCTGCCTCCCTGAGCAAGTCATTTAACCTCTTTTTGCCTTGATCCACAGAAGAAGGAAATGGCAAACCACTCCAGTATTTTTGCCAAGAAAACCCCTAAGGATAGTATTGGCATGCTATGGTCCACGAGGTCATGAAGAGTTTGACATGACTGAACAACAACACACTGCTGATCAATGAGCCTTATCTTGCTGACTGGAGCCAGTTACCAAATGTCCATTTGTGCTCCCAAGACACTTCCATTACATATCATTGCATCTCTCCCAGAAGCAATCTTCCTTGTCCCTTCCACATGGAGAGATGCCCTTAGAAGGCACTTTGCACATGTGCCAGACACTATTACCCTCCTGTTACAACAGCCCCATTATAGACCTTGAGAGGAATTCAACGAGCATCTAGTTCAATCCCTTCATTTTAAAAATGAACAAGCTGAAGTTCAATTAAGGTATATGATTTGACCAAGGTCACATAGGTAGGAAGTGTTGGCCCAGTTGCCTTAATTTATTCTGATTTGGGAAAGGTAGATTATTTCATTATAAATTAATAAATCAACCTGCCTTTCTGTAGTCCATTTCCCTGGAACTGATTTAGTTTGGGTTAAGGGTACATTCCATCCTCAGGCTTTCAATCTGATCCATAAAATCAAAATAATGTAAAGAACATTAGATTCAGAGCCAAAATACCTGGGTGGGAAGTACAGCTTTGCTTCTCACTACCTCTAAGTTCTTTGGAGATTCATCTGATCACCTTGGGCTTCTGTTTCCTCAAATATAAAACCAAGTGGCTGGATTATATGGTCTATAACGTGTTCTAGTATGACACTAGGATCTCAGTTTGGTCACATTCATTTATTCATTCAAGAAATGTTTATTAAACATTATTGCATGTAGAACATTGGTAGGTACTGGAAGAGATAGCAATTAAAACAATTGACTTAGAGTTTAGTAAGAAAATAGAGAATGTTGTTCATGAAAACAGACCCCAATATCTGAAATAGTTTTACATATAAATTTATTAGGTTATTTGGTAGAGGAGAGAGAACTGAAAAGGAGGTGTGGCTCCCTTTCATCCAGGATCTGGAAGGTTTGCATTATATGGGATTTTGAACCCATGTGTGGTTAGGCACTTTTGCTGAGAGGGCAGCCTGAAAGCAAGGTAGATTGAGATAGATATGAGTAATTGTAACCCAAAACAGAATCTTGGGGTGGACCCCTGAGGAGTTCCTGGATGTGGTAGCCCAAAACAAGAATGTTTTGGGTGGATCCAGGATGTGGGGGATTTGGAAATACTTTGTAGCCATCTGTGGCATTCCTAAAGAGTTACTAAGGTGGAGCCACATTCTGGGTTTAGATAACCTTTGATCACATAATGTTGGATAAACAGTAAAATAATTTTTCCAAACTGTATAATAAATAATTTTTTTCCTTCAGGGATAGGGACTGAACCTGTGAAATCAGTGGCACAGAGAACTTCCAGGGAAGAAATTTCCTCTATAAATAATGCCTTCTCTGCACTTTATAGTCTTTGAGAGATGCCTAGAGTAGAGGTGTCAAACTCTGGGCAAAGCAGATTAAAATGTAATTGGGAAATGTCTAACAAAATAATTAAAAAAAACATAACATATAGGATACAAATTTGTGGTTTTCTAAGTCAATATGCAGCCAAAGGGATTCCTGTCTATTTGAGTTTGACTGCACTGGCCTAGAACCCTAAGACCTAAGTGTCTTGCTCAGGATCACATAGTCAGTGTGTGTCAGAGTCTAATGTTGAGCCAGGTAATCTCAGTACCAAGGCTGAGTCTCTGTCCATGGTGCTACTACTAGTAGTAATGAGATATGAGATAATTTCAGTCCTTTCAGTCACGTCCAACTCTTCATGACCCCATTTGGGGTTTTCTTGGCAAAGATACTGGAATGGTACTGAAGAAATTGAGAGTCAGAGAGGTTAGTGACTTCCTCATAGTGAAACAATGAGTTTCAAGAAACAGCATTTGAACTCAGATCTTCTTGAGACCAGGTTGTCTTTCTATAAGACACCAAGTTGCCTTCCATGTATTCTTGGTGAATTGGACCTTTCCATTGCTATTTAATATGACATATGGATAAAAACTTGGCCCCAAAGTCAGGGAGACCTGGTTCAAGTTCCATCTCTGAAAATATGAGCTCTGGGACCTTAACAAGTCATTTAGCCTCTAGGCAATTGCAGAGAAGGTACCACTTGAACCTTCACAATTTCATCGAAATCATGGTACTTGTCTCCATATTATACCTATTATTTTTCTTTGTATTTGGCTTATGGTTGGAGTACTGCCTTTGGAAGATTATTTTGATTGCTACGTAGAGGGTGGAATAGAATAGGGAGAAACAAAGCAGTAAGACCAATTAGGAGACTGTTACATTAATCCAGGAGAAGTGATTAAAGTTTGAATGAGAATAGTGGCCTTATAAGTAGAGATAAGGGAATGAAATAAAAAGTGCTGTGGAGTCAGAATCTGAGAATTCCTGACTTCATGTCATATTCTGCCTCACTTCCTAGCTAAGTAACTCTTGATAAGTCACAACCTTCGGTCCTCAGTTTCCTCATCTGCAAAATGAGAGTGCTAGACTCAGTGGCCTTTAAGGTCTCTTTCAGTTCTAAGTGTCTGATCTTATGAATTTGGTTACTGATTAACTATGGGGTAAGGGAGGATGAAGAGGGAAGTTTCAAGGATCACTTCAAGGTCACAAAACTGAGCTAGCTTCAAAAGAAATATAGAAATTTAGAGGCAGAGTGGGTCTGGGGGAAAGATTATGAGGGGCATCTTGGACTTAAGATACCAGGTAAATATCCAAGTATGAAATTTGGGTGTGAGGTTATGGCTTGATAGGTGGATTTGGGAATGATCTTCAAAGAAATGATAATTTAACCCATTGGAACTGATGAGCTTATCAATAGAGAAAGGGTAGAGAAAGAAGAGAAATATCCTAGGACAAAGAACCTTGGAAGATATCCATGTAAGGAGTGGGACATGGGGATTCTGTTCCAGCAAGGTGACTGAGAAGTAGCCATCAGACAGGTAATAAGATAATCAGAAGAGAGAGAAGTGGCATAAACACCAATGGAAGAAAAAACTATTAAGTGAGGGTGACTGATACCCAATTGTTAATAGATATTGAGATAATGAACCCAGGCAGCATGGATTCTTTCTGTAGCATTTAGGTGCACATATGTGAAAACAGTGGAGGTGGATGATGTTACATTTAGGTTTAATGAGGTATCAGTTGTGATAGAATAATATAATAGTTGAACTGGTTAGTTATAGTGTCAAGACAAGAAAAAAAGAAAATAAAAGAAAGTAAGGTCAGAACAGAAGGGATCAATTCAGAGAACAGAAAATATAAAGAGACTAGATGAATGTGGTGAGGGCAAATAATAGGTTTAAGAGAAAGAGAACAGAGTGAAAAAATGGCAGGAAAAGAAATGATGAGTATTGAGAAGAGTTTCAGATTTCAAGGTAATGGAGATAGTACAGTTAAGTCAAAGGAATTGGGGAGGTTAATGAAATGAGATGGCAAGGTATTCAAAAAGACATCTAAATGTTGGGCAAAGGGTAAGGATGAAGAGGAAGATTTTAAGATAGGTATTAAACTCCTTGAGAAAGGAGAAAGTGTTTATTAAGTGCTTACTATGTGCTAAGCACTGTATTAAGTGCTTTACAAACACTATCTAATTTTTATCCTTAAAAACCCAGTGAAGTGGGTGTTGTTATTATCTTCATTTACAGTTAAGGAAACTGAGGCAGAAGTGAAGTAACTTGACCAAGTTCACACAGGTATAATTTTCTGAGATTAGTTTTGAATTCAGGTGGTACAGTGGATAGAGTGTTGAGCCTAGAGTCAGGAAGACCTGAATTCAAAACTAATCTCAGAAAATTATACCTGTGTGACCTTGGGCAAGTTACTTCACTTCTGCCTCAGTTTCTTCAACTGTACAGTTATGGGTGATGGTAAGGTCTAGTATATGCAGATACATTAAATTGGAATGAAGATGTAAGTCAAAGGGAATTTGTTTTGCTTAACTATGCAATTTTGTTACAACTTTTATTTTTTTTCCAATGGGGAAGAGAAGTGGAAACTAGAGAAAATACATTTTGTTAAAAAATTTTAAAGAAAAAATGGAAGAATTGTTGTGAGCAGCAACCATTTGTGTAGAATATATATGCTAAATACAATCAAGTCTAATTTCTTTATTAAAGTAGGACCAATTATATCTAAAAGCATTTTAAAATTTACTGATACCTGTTGTTGTTGCATCACATCTGTGACCAAAGAGCCCTCCCCTACCAATTGAATTATCCCTTGTAGTAGATTTTTAAAAAATAGTTCAGCAAAAAACAAAACATCAACAACATCTGACGGTATACGCAATATTCAACATCCATAGTCCCCCATCTCTGTAGTGAAGGCGAAGGAGGTGTGTTATCTCAACTCTTCTTTGGGACCAAGCTTGATTACTATCATTACAGTGTTCATTTTATCACTCATTCATTTTATGTTGTTCTAGTCATTCTGCATATTGGTTTCCTAGCTCTGTTTATTTCATTTTGTATCAGTTCATATAAGTCTTAGCATGTTCCTCTAAATTTTTCATCTTTATTATTTCTTACAGTGCTTATTATCTATTATATTTCTAGACCACAATTTGTTCAGCCACTCCACAATTAATGGGCTACTACTTTGTTTCAAATTCTTTGCGTCCACAGAAAGACTTGTTCTGATTATTTTGGCATCTATGGAACCTTTCTTTCCTGATGACATTTTTTAAAAAAGCAATTACTGAAAATGCTTGTATTTTGAAGAAATGTAACCTCATTTCTTGCCAAATATGCCTTTTTACTAATTCACACTTCTTCCTCCTTATTTAATGTGCATTTGCTAAGTAGTTTATGTATGTAGCTATTCTCTCAGCATTCTGAAGTCCTCTCTAACTTTTCTTTCTGCAGTGCAAACTGGAGTTCCATTCTTGTTCCTCTGGAAAAGGCTTCACGACCCAGTGTGAGGGACCCTGTCCATGCCTCACAGAGCCAGAACCTCCCAAGCACAAGACAGAGAAGAACAGTGAGTTTGGGTCTTGGGGGACATTTCTTATGGGGAGATAGGTCTGGGAGGTCCAGGTGCTTGTCAGCCTTAGCCATCTGTTCAGACAGTAGGAATTCAGAATTCAAAACATAGCTGTCTTGGGAGGCAGGCTTTTTGGCTAAGAGTTCCACATGATCTTCAGGCACTTTTCTATAAAAGTATAGCCGATAGCAGTGGATAGGACTTAAAAGGAAAATGAAATGTTGACAATTCTTGAGGGTAATTGTGTTCGGCAAAGAAAAGAAATCAACTTTTGCATAGGTAAAGCTAGACATTGGCTAGGAGAGCCTGGTGTGTCCCAGAAAGGAGGAAGGGGACTGCTGAAGGTGAGAGCAGTACTTCTTTGAACTCTTATCTCTTGGGTTCTTTGAACTTCTCAAGGCCAAATTTCTGTACAGGGACTGAGGTGATTCCATAATTATGGAGTCTGGTCAATTACTAATGTATTCTACTTGACATTATAGCACTAAGTTGAATGATGGGGATGAAAGAAGCCCTTCCTGGGGATGGACATTTAGTTATAAAGCAAGAAGGGAGGCATCAGGGAAAGTCTTTGTGATGATTTTAGCATTTTCATTCTGAAGAAAGTAAGACCATCTTCCTGGATTGGGGTTCTCAGTCCTTTCTATTGAAAACTTATAGCAATAGCCTCAATTTCATGGAACTGGGGCTCTTTTAGGCTTAGCTGGTCATTCTAAGTTTCAATATATTTATATAAAAGATAAGCCATCAAGTAATGAATTATTTCATCTATAATGCTGATGACATCACAGATTTTAAAAATTATTTGTGTGAGCAGGTATATACGTACATAAATAAAATTCTTAGCTAGATTTCTGCTGTCATCAATGTGGGTATTCCCTCCAATCATACAGATTGTAGATTGTCCATTACCTCTTATTCATGTTCACCTATAAGTTCACCACAAGAGGTTCACCCATGATCCCAATAGAGCCCATGGGCAACCTCAAATTTCTCTCTCAATTTCACCACTGGACTAGTCAAATTTTTATGATGACAACCTTAATATTTGGTCTTCTTTGTATCTATGTATTTGTTACTTGTTTCATGTTTCACTCAGTTGCCTGTGAAATTAAATTTTAATTCTTTTGAGACTGTAATGTTCCATAACTTGAAGCCACACAATAGCAGCCGTACAATATTAGTGTTAATAAAAAGGGGCTCAAGAGAAATTTGGGGTCATTAAGATAGCCCTGCATTATCCTGTATGCAAACTAGTTGCCTCTTTCTGTTCAATTTTGGGCCCAACTCATTGTCTGTTTGCAGTGTTTTTCTAAGCTACATACCATAGGAAAAACTCTATATTTTGTCCATCTAAAAGCTTGAGATGATATGGACAGAAGGTGTACATACACATAGCTACAAGATAGCTATATGTTAAAAGTACAAAATGTTGGAATAGAATAAAAAGTAATGAATGTCATTTTCTTATACTTGCACGTCCAACATATTCTTCAGGAAGCCATACTGGCTCTTGGTGATCACTGCTTCCCTTTCTAACAACTTGTTCACAGTAGAGTCTAGAATTTTGCCAATAATTGAAGTCAGGCTCAGTGGTCTGTAGTTAGTGAACTCTAGAGGTTTTTCTTTTTTGAATAGTGGGGTATTTTCTTTTCTCTGGTCCTGTGTTCTCTCTCCTTTCCTCTACCATCTTTGTAAGATCACTGACAGTAACTCAGCCATCATAACCATTAGTTCTTTCAATACCCTGAGATATAGTTTACCCAAGCCTGAAAACTTCAGCTTATTGGAGGCAGCTATGTCCTCCCTTTTCCATTTCATCACTTGTCTTGGGCTTCAACATTTAATGACCAATTTTGTTCTGTCCTTTCCAGTTCAAAGATCATTCCCTTTGGCTGAGAAAACTGAAGCAAAAACAGCTCAGCCTTCTCTCTATCATCCATTATTATCACTCCATCTACCTTAAGCAATACTTTTTTTTATCTTCCTCTTTTCCCCAACTTCACTAAAAAAAAGTCCTCTTGATGTCTTTAGCATTTAATGACAGCTAAAGCTCCTTCTGAACTATTCTTACAGGTCCATGCTACTCTTTTATGTTCATTTATAATTACTTGTCCTCCCTTCCATCTTCTACAAATGCCTCTTAAAATTTAACTTTATTGTTAAGTTCCCTGTGTATCTGCATTGTTCCTACATGGTACACACATTTCTGCCTTGTTATTTTAAGTTCAAAGATGAAAAAGATTGTATCTTTGTCATTTTTGTATTCACAGCCTACCCAGCACCTTGTGTTTTATATATGAAAATAGAACGGAATCAGATTGAATGGAATCAAATCGAATTGTGGATTTTGTGAAAGTTTGTGTTGCATGAGCTTGGTTTTAGAATCCCATTTTAGCTTTATTTTTTATCTCCTCTTCCCCCCCCTCCACCCCTCCCTACTCTAAAACCCTATCTATCTTTCACTGAGAGTCAAACTGTGATAAAATGGAAAGAATACTAGCTGTGGATTCAGAGGACTTGGGGATTCAAATCTTGCATCTGGCATCTGCCTGTATGACCTTGGGCAAGTAATTTTACCTCTATCATCATCATCGTCATCATCATCATCATCATCATCATCATCTTCATCTTAAAACTATATAGTGCTTCCTATGTGCCAAGCACTGGGCTAAGCATTTATAATTATTATCTCATTTAATCCTCATAACAACCCTAAGAGTTGGTGCTATTATCTTCATTTTATAGATAAGGTAACTGAGTTTTCTCATCTGGAAAATGAGGGAATGAGACTAGATGGCCCCATAGGTCCCTTCCTTTTCTAGATATATTGTCCTATGAAGCTTTTTTGTCCTTGGCTCAGTCAGCAATGTTATAAACAAATACAAATCTCTCTCTCTCTCTCTCTCTCTCTGTCTTTCTGTCTCTCTCTCTCTCTCTGTCTCTCTCTCTCTGTCTCTCTCTCTCTCTATATATATATATGTATATATATATGTGAATGAACACAGAAGAGTAGCATGGACCTGTAAGAATAGCTCAAAAGGAGCTTTAGAAGGAGTCTTTTACTCTTTTTCTCAGGTGGTGGCATTTCCAGAATTTCTGGTAATGTTTCTGCAGGGTTGTTCCTGCCTAGACCTCCATTCCCTAGGGATTAACAAAGACAAAAGGATAAGAATATATCTGGGAACTAATTTCATTATTTTCATTTCATGTGGGATTTTCCAGGGAGAAAGAAATGAAGATTGGGTAATGGCCAGCCTCTAGGTACTTGTTGAATTGATAGGGGGAGATTAGAACCCTTCTTGGTCTAACAGGAGATAGGAGTAGGGCCTACAAGTGAGGAAGGTCTGACAAAAATGAACAATGTGCTGCTAGTTTTCCCCAGGAAAATACTCTTCCAAGGAAATAACCCTTTCTCTTCACTTGAGTTGTTTGGAAGAGCAGAAAAGACTAGGAAATGAATTTATTTTTTCTTACAGGGTTTTCAACCTGAGGGCTAGACTCTGGTAAACAAATCATGTTGACAGATGATTGTCTAATTCCGTTACTTACTAGAAGTTATATGTGTGAAATACATTCAAACACAAATATGGGAAGAAGCAAAGGCGAAGGAGAAAAAAAAAAGACTGCTTCTTTGCTCTCAGTAATATCTCAATGGGGGAAAAAAAACCCAACATGTTGCAAAGGCTCCTAGCAAAATGTAAATCCGGCTCTGGAGCCAGTACATAACTTTTCCTTTAATGCCTGTTGTATAAATGGGTAAAGGCTAAGCACTCTGCAAACTTGCAATTTAAAAGCAGTTTATGTTAACCTTTCCATACCCATTCAATCATATTCACATGATATTCAGTGATAAATTATGGTCAGAAATTAAAAATGTAAAGGAACATTTAATTCCCCAGCCTTGTTATTCTAAATGTCATGACCTTTTGAAAAAATAAAGAAGTGCTTGATAATAGAATTGGCAAGTACATCAAACTAAAAAAAAAATAAAACTAAAAAAAAAAAAACCAAAACTCACGCCTAGCCCTGTGCTCGGAGCTATTAGTTGACCATAATACATGGCCTATAGCGTTTCCTATTCATTTTGTGAGTTGTACCCTTGGAATTTAGTCTTCCTTCTTGGAGGAAGGAAACTTGGTTTAGAGGCTTTAATATATTTACTGAATGATGTAGTGGCAAGAGCTCTGCCTTTGGAATCAGAGGAATTGGATTTGAATCCTAGATCTGCTAGCTTTATGTTGTTGCTTCTCCTCCCTGGACCTCAGATTCTTCATTTGTGAAATATGAGAGTTGATATGAATGACTTGGATCTTCTTAGCAATACAGTGATTCAAGACAATTCCAAAGGACTCATGAGGGAAAATGGTATCCACATCCAGAGAAAGAACTGATGGAGTCTGAATGCAGATCAAAGCATGCTGTTTTTATTTTACTTTTTTTGTGTGTTTTTTTCCTTTTGGTCTAATTCTTCTTTCACAACAGGACTGATATGGAGATATGTTTTACATAGTTGCACATATACAACCTACATCAAATTACTTATTATTTTAGGAAGAGGGGAGCAAAGAGATGTAGGGGAAAAATTTGGAACTCAAGATTTAAAAAAATGAATGTTTAATTCTCTTTACATATAATTGGAAAAAAATAAAATGCTCTTTAAAAATATGGGAGTTGATTCAAATGACCTCTAAGATCCTTTCTAGCTCTAAATCTTTTTATCTTTTTTGTAACACATATGACAAATGAGGCTCCTTGAATCCTTTCCTGTGACAGGCAGGCTGATTTAAATTTTGATGATGTCTAAGGAATAGTAAGCATACTCTTCTTCATGCCACTGCCAAGAAAAACCTTGGGTACATCTGAATTTAGCTTATTTGTAGCTCACCCCAAACAGTATTCTGTCTACCCTTCTCCCTCCCCCACAAGCATTAGAGGCTCAAAGTATGATGGGATCATAGAAGCTCTCAATAAGCATTTGAACATAGAACAAATAT